TTATTATATTAATTTTATATATATACATATATACATTGATATCATATTTTGCATTATCAAGATTAATATTTTTTTAATCTATATTATTTTTTAATAAATTCTCAAATCTTAAAAAATCTTAAGTTTTCTTTAAAATTCGAAGAAAGCGAATTTATACAAATGTTTTTTTTATGATCAAAAATAGATCACATTATATTTATAATATTTTTATGTATCATATTATGTTTACTATATTATATTATAAATATTAAAACGTGTTATTCTTAAAACATATTAAAAAAGCGTCATATCTATTATATATCATCAATTCATTGAAAATAATGACATCAATTAAGTTAGAATAAATAAATCTTAGAATAAATCTCATGCGATCAAATTCGTTACTTTCGAATATATTCCACATAAGTACTGCCGGAAGAAAAAAGAAAGAAAGATTTAAGAGTAGGAGTTACCGCGCGTATCTAGCCACTTTCATTGTTATTTGATCTGCCTTACGCTGAAGGTGCAAGCTGAATATTCCCATTTTTCTGAACGAATAACTAGTAATTTTATTTATTTATTACAAAATTTTTCATCATTAAAAAAAACATAATACCTTCGAATTTTCAGTGAGTATACATATAAATATTTTCACTTATATTTCTTACTATTTCTATAATGCACTATTTCAGTTACTACTTTTCATTGAAAATTACTTTCTTTTTTTTACATTATATTAAAAAAAAAATTCTTTACCTTTATATTCAATGCTTTATCTGACACCTGATATATAATTTTTCCAAAAAAGTAATTAATTTTTATTCAGTTTAAAATATCTTTTAAAGTTATTATTAGTTATATATTTCCTCAATAATTTAAAAATTTAATTGAATATTTTATTTTTTTATTAAATTATTGATTATTATATAGATAATTATAATATAAATAAATAAGGAATTTCTAATGTTTTGTCAAAGATATATATGTATAAGAGATGATTTAAAAAAAATACGAATACTATAAAAGGGAAATAATTGCAAAATCAGCATTGGAGTGCCAGTTAACGGAGCGCGGAAATATCAGCAAATGAAATCAACATCGAATCGCGCATTAGCATACAAAAATACCGATGATAGCCTTATTCACTTTGCCGATCAAGATTCATGTATTCCGTCCAAACAATAAGATTTCGTATTTAGGGCACCGTTGCGTGTACTTAAATGAAAGAAACATCGTACCACATTGTAGTGTTTCGGTCAATTAGGAAAAATTGAGAAATTCACTTCAAATAAGCTAGAAAATTATTTATTAATTATTTATTATTTTAATGATTTTAATTTCAATTTTTTTATTTCAAAATGGATATTAAGAAATATTAAGAATAAAAGAAGAAAAAAATTAAATAAAAATTTAATATACTAGAATGTACATGCAATTTAATTCGACAATTTCTTGAAATAATTAATAATAATCGAAGAATACAATAGAGACAGCTCACGTGCAAATTATGCTTCCTGATTTCACTCGATTGTCGTTGAAATGCTGGACGGAAGGAAGACGCATTCATGCTCTGTTTCAGCGAATTCACTGAGTTTCTACAGGATATACCTACTGAGATTTTAATGATATCGCGACACAAAAATATAGCTTTTTGTTCTTACAAGTTTTGAAAGTGTCATTGCAATTGGCTTTATCATGAAATCGTAAAGAATAATAAAACTGATCACTATTTCCTCTATTCATATTAGATTCTTATGTAATTTTCCCTATATATAATTTTCACTTTGATTTTTCTTCTATTTTGATGATCTATAAATTATATCTTATTCATATTATTCTTTTATAATGATGAAATCAAATTGAAAATTCCATAATAACAAATTCATACAATATTAAAATGATTTCAGAAATTGTATTATATTATATTTTTATCCATTATAGAGATGGTGTCATTCTGTGAGATATCAGTGATTATGTTGTTGACATTTTCTTCGATTAATTTCGTTCATTCGAATATTGGCAATTGGGAAGCCTGTGGTGGAAGATTAGAACGTGCCCTAGATGCACTTCACAAAGACTCGAGTAGACGAAAAGGATTTGAAGAAGAGAAACCAGGAACGATGTATCAGCAAGAACTTCGTTCTGTACCACTTGAAATGTCTGTCTCCCGGATTGTTGTGAAAGTAATATTTATTGCATAAATTGGATTATAATCTATATATTGTAAATAAGATAAATCTTGATATTTCTTTCAATTAACGATTAATATGTAAATGAAATAGTTACACTTGAATTTAAGAGAAAATTTTCAAAAATTTTCAAATGGAATTTTATATATCATTTTTTTTTTTTCTAAATTTTATTTTCATTAATGTAGACATTGTTTTTCACTTTTTAGTTATCACAAGGAGCTAGAAACACGGGGAATTGGGCGAGGGTTGAAAAATGCATTTACGAACCCAACAACAATTCTCTTCAAACTCGAGTCATGTTCAATGATTTATCTGTTTCTGGAATGGTTTCGTTAATACCACGAGATCATCAGTCTCCTGTACCAGCTGAGTCTTGTAGAATGACTCTAAGATTGAGACGGGCAGGTGTCGATTTTTTAACGAGTCCAATCGCTCGTGGCAGAGGGCAAATGCGCATTCGAACGGAATCTAGTTTTTTAGAGCCGAGATTTGCTTCTATTTATGCTTATGGTTGCCATCCTACACGTTTAGACAAACAAATTAAGAGACAGGACAAATGGCCTCCGTTTTATCCACCTCGAGATGAAGTAATTTATTTGTATTATTTTTAATTAATTAATTAAATTTTCGACATATTGGGAATGAAACATTTAATATTTTCTAGTATACAATTCTACCTTTAGCATTGAATGATGATTATGAGGCGGCAGAACCACGTCAATTGGTCGGTGTTTCGAAAGAGGTAGACGTTGTCATTCCGAACGAAACTCGTCAATCTCGTTTTGTAAACGCTCCTGTTACAAAATTAGGAATATGGAAGAAAAATATTTGGCTCACCAAATCTCCACTGCGGAAAAGGCGGGCTCTTGTAAAATCTAATATTGTTGCGAGTTCATTGGATGTACATCGTTTTCCAGATTCCTTAAAAAGTGGTCAGAAAGCTAGTATTCGTTCCATAAGGATACCGAGATCAACGGAGATGATCACCCCTCAAGATTTTGTAACCGCATTGATCAGTAAACGGTCAAAAACCAACGAAACTGGTAATTGCACCGAGCATCGAACAGGGCAGAGCAATCTAACCGATATAACTAAAATTCTTTTGAGACACTTGGATGACAGCAAATCAAAGACAAATGTCAAGAGAGAAGAAAGTTATCCGACAATGGAAAAAGAGGAATCGAAAGAAATTAGACATTTGTATATTGATGAATCGTTAGACAATATTTTTCCGATTGATCTAGAAAACGATAGTAAAAGTTGGCAATCTAAAGAAAACATAGCTAGAGAAATGGAAGATGTTTTTTTAAGAAGTGCCAGTCAAGCTTTGACCAGATATATCGAAAGACAATTGCATCCTGCTATTAAAGAAACACTTATGATTTCTATGGGATATACTATCAGTTATGGATAATAAAGTGTTCTTCATCAGTTAGTAATAATTTCTTCTAATTTAATTTCTCTAAAAATTTAAATAAATATTGTAGAAATTTGAATATAATCTAAATTATTGCTATTGTAATATTAATGTCTAGTCTTAACAAAGATGTTTAGCATCGAAAAAAAAAAAATAATATATATATACACATTTTTATTCCTTCCTCTATTTCCTAAAGATATAATTATTTCCTAAAGAACTTAAAGAGATAAATATATTTATTATAATAAATAAATATATATAAATTTATTTCTTAAAATTTTAAATATATTTATTTCTTTATATATATAAAATAACTATTAAATAAGTATATAATTAAAATTAAGTAAAATGATAAAAAAAATTTATCTCTAAAAATATGATAGTTTTAAGAAATATATAAAAAAATTAGTATAAAATAAAGTAAAAATCTAGAAAAATGTAATATATCTTTTTATGTATCATATTTTCTTGATATAAAATCACGAAATTGATCAACAATATTATTTGGATAATATATATATTTTTTACATATGTTTTTTATTTATATATTTTCATATTTTATGTATATTTTTATGTATGTTGTATCAAATCGAAAATCAACGCCATCTAAGGAATATATAATTTTTAGTCGAAAATCGAGAAATGTTAATAGGATTATAGAATGAGAAGAAAGTCGAATAGAATTGTAATATCACAAACAAGGAGAGAAAATAAAAGGAAAAAGACAAAATAGGTAAAAATGGTGAAGTCAACGCCATCTTTAGAGTGCCGCAAATAAAATAAACGTAGATAAATGAAAAGTAGAAGGATAGAGATAAGAATTGACCATAAGTACCATCTCTGGAATATTAAAGAAAATATTTTTTTTAGAAATATTCGGGAGATGGCGTAGATTTTTAATTCATAATATCCTACTTTAAAGAAGTATCTTTAGCATCTAAGAGATGGCACTGATATGCAATTTCTCTTATTTCTATCTTTCTTCTACTATTTGCTATCCTTTCTATGTGTGTTTCATTTGAGACACACCGAAGATGGCGCTGATCCTGCAATTTTTATTCTATTTCTATCCTTTTTCCATTATTCTTTTTCTTTGTCTTTATTTATCAGATAACCTCTTTGAATATTCTATGCTTCTGTTAATATTCCGCGATTTTTGGCGGCTTATTCTATCTTCACCGGATAATTCTGATGTTACTTGTTACTATTATTCGTTATTGACATTCTTATCTGATTAATCAAAAAATTTGTGCAAGATCAAAAAAAATTGTGGAATAGTGTTAAAATTATTATGCAGTTAACTATATTGATCTGATTTTCAGATTAAATGTTCAAGTTGAAAATAATAATTCAAAACATCAAATAAACAAAAAGATGAAATCTCGTTATTATATTATATTATTTTATTTATCATAATAAAAAAATAATTTTAAAAAATAATAAAAAAATTTTTTTTCATATTCATGAAATTAATTAAAGAAAAAAAAATATTAACTACAAACTTTTATTAAATATATTTTACTTATTATTTTTTATATCAATTTATAAGTTAATTTTATAAATTAGCCATATAAAATAAATGAATATTATTCAATAACGAATAATAATTAATATGTTTATACCATACATGTATTATATAATATACTATTTGTATAATTCATTATTGTTTTATAAAAGAAAAGTAAAAAGCAGAAAAAAATTTAATTTTTAAAAGTATTTACATTTTAGGTAAGTTCTTAAGTTTTATTTTAATATTTTTTATTTTAATTTTTATTACTTTTATCTTTTATCTTTGTGCATTTCATATATTTTGAAATGGTGATATATTTTATGCATCTAGGGGAAAAATATATCGACGCATAATGACCAACATTTCTATCTTAAAATAATTATTACTGAATGAATCATGATTTTTATTCAAAATTTCTTTTGAATATTCTGCTGTAATATTCTGTAAAAAAAGATTATTAGATTTTTAATAATAACTAGTTGATATTATGGAATATTTTCTTTAAATACTTAATTATCGGTTATCATACACCAAACTCAAGCTAGTTACGATTTAATAATAGTTGAACGATTCTCTGTTCACTATATATATAAATCCCTGCAAGAATGCAGAAAACGTGATGGTAGTGCCAGGGGTGAAGTGATGCTCTCACGCATATAGATCGAGTATATACATACTACATGCACCCTTATCTGTTAGTGATAGATTAAAAGATTCTCTGAGAATTTATAGAACATGTGAAAAAAACATTTGAAGTTCTACTTGTAATCTTTATAATATTTTATATTATACTATACTAAATAATATATTATAAATTGTTTTATCGTGTTTTATAACAGGTGTTTATAAATGTTAAGTTTCATAGGTGATAATAGTGAAAATTGTATCATTCATTAAATTGTTATTCAGAATAATACAATTATCATTATTTTATATTTATAAAAAAAATGATTTTATCTTACATTTTTAATTTTAATATATTTACTTCTATATTTATATTGAATAAATAAGAACAAATAAATATTTACAGAAATTTTAATATTTTAATCATTTTTAAATTTTTTTAAATTTTCAGATATAAGATATAGATTTTTAAATATATTTTTATTAGAAATATTATTTAGAAATTATTAAATTTTTAAAAAAAATTATAAGGAAAAAGTGAAAAATGCATTGTAAATGAATTTATGTACATACATCACTGCCTCTGCACACTTACGTCACAGCTACCCTGTGTGCAGATCGGTGCAGCCTTACCACGCAGCAGCGTGTGCAGCAGCAGCAGCAGCAGCAGCAGCCTGTCCTCTTTTCTCCGTATACTAGCTTCCTTAGTGGAGGGGTGAGATTGGTGGCATTTCAGTGACGTCAGAGTCGATCGTCAGGCGCAAACTGAGGGTTTGCGCCCATCATACTACGTCAGAATGACGAGCCGATAAACTATCCATCAGGGTTTTCTGCGGCGGGCGGGCCAACGGTCTTAGGGTAAACATTCTTTCCGATCGTTTTAATTAGTTGTACGTTGCATTTTATCTACTTTTATTAAATTGTGATAAATTTATGAATGTAAAAAAGAGAAAAAAATGAAGAAAACTACTGACGCGATTGTCGATGAACCACATTCTGGATTCTCGTTTTCAGGTGGCCGCCGTTGGTTTGGCCGACGATGGCGAACTCAGCGGGGACAACAGTTGACGGTATCGACGTCGGTGAGAATGATGGTACAACAGGAGTAACTGGTGGTGGTCCAAGGAATCCTCTCATCTGCGGCGTCTGTCATGACTATTATAACGAGCCTTGCCTGCTATCCTGCTTTCACACCTTTTGTGCCCGCTGCATTCGTGGCCCTCATCTTGAGGGAAAAGTCTCCTGTCCTATCTGCGGGTAGATAACAACGACTGTTATTGCATGGCGTCCTTAGGGTGGGTGATGATCCCAGGTCTGGCTTAGGTTCAGCTACAATGTGCATGTCATTATATTTCCTAGTTCAATTATACATGTAGATTTAAATCCAAGTAGGAGAAAATTTGTTATATTTAATTAATTCTTTACAATGATTTTTTGCTTTATACAATCTCATTTCAATCTTAGGAATAAAATTATGAAATATTCTAATTTTTTTTACATTTGCACAATAGAATATATAATTCAATCTCTATTTAAAACTACTTAATTAATCTATTTAATATCATTGAGATATGCATTAAAACCTAGATGTGAATCTATTTTTATCATTTATATTATAAATTATTATTGTCTTGTAAATACATACTTGATTTGACAATATTTTTTTATTGTAAAGTGTGTGCAATTCTAATTTATCATGCAAAATAAAATTCTTCAGTTTTCCATTTTGCTATAATAGTTTTTTGACATTTTTTTTTCTTTTAGATATTACTTTCATCAGAATCCATTTTTATAATCTATATCAATATTTTTATTTTGCAAGACTTAAAATATATATCTTTTTTGTTAAATTTATCTTTAATAATCCTTTACTTTTATAAATCTTAAATATATTGTTATATATAGGCAACAGACACAATTAAAAGATGGAGCACAACTACCACCCCCCGATCAGCTGATACGTCAGCTAGTTGAATTGGCAAACTCTGAAAATCCACCTTGTGCCAATTGTGATAAGCGTGACAAATCTACTATGTTTTTCTGTACAACATGTGGTACGTTGCAAGTAACATTAAATAACTTATTTTACTAATCTTGTGTATTAAGAAATAGTATCATCTGCTCTAGAACTTAAAATTATTCTTATGTGTATCAGGTCAAGCATTGTGTACACACTGTAGGGAGCATACCCACCGAGCAAAGATGTTCTCTACGCATGAGGTGCTGCATATGAGCAAATGCGCCAAGGATACACAACGTCGTTGCCCTACCCATGGAGAACAATATATAATGTACAGCCAAAGTGCCAAGTGCATGCTCTGCGCTACTTGTTTTCGCGATACTCCTGCGGATGCGAGACTTCATTGCGTTGATATCGAAACTGCTTGGCAACAGGCATCAAAGAAGATGGAACGAGCTGTTAATTCTATCTGCGAACTACAAGCTGGTGTGCGGGATGGAGTATTGGCATTAAAATCACAATTGGATGAACTGCGACATAGTTTGGATTCCGAAAAGAGAACATTGAATTCTTTTTGTCAAGGAATGCAAGAAGCAATTACAAAGACACATGGAAGTGCTTTGACGGAGTTACAGCGACAATTTGAAACGAAGGAGAGGATGGTTCGCAGTCAATTGCTGTCACTAGGTAGCGCATTACCTGTACTGCAGATGCATTTAATGCTATGCACCGCCTTCACCAGCGGTGCCACGAAATATCAATTTCTCGAGCTAGCCCATCCAATGTTAGACCGGCTTAGTCGAGTCGCGCAATTAGGATATCCATCGAGGCCACCTTTGCTGACCGCGCATTTGAAGACTAACTATAAGAATGAATTTGCTCGTGCACTGCAACCATATGTGGGTCAAGCACAAACTCCGAAAGAATCATTATATGATCAAACTCACACGATGACTCAGCAGGATCCGCCAGTGATTCAGGTATCTAGATTCATTTAGCACGGTCACCTCGATTACAAAATTCCATCTTTACGTTCATATTACAAGTTTCTTTTTCATTGCATTTCTCGCGCACACTTCTGTGTAAGTATTTTTGTTTACAGGATTTTACTCGATATATGATGTGGCTTGTACTTAATCGTATGGTGGTAGTTAGTAGCCAGATTAGAATACAGTCATTCTTGTAGCAAATTGACTGTTCTTGGCAGACGTGAAAACGTTTCGTTTCTTGTTAGTTTCTTAGCCGATGATGTGGTAGTCAGTATCAGACACTTTATTCAGACCCGTATATATTTATATACACGTCTGATGTGCTAGGAAGGAATGACCGGGCGTTTACGTAAAGCATTCTTTTCCAAGCAGAGCAGCAAATCTGCTCAGAGGATTCCAACCAAGAGTGGGACCGACGGTGGACCGTTTTCCAATCACTGCCGAACATTTGATACTCAGTTAAAGGAATTGAATCAACAGTTGCTCACAGTGAAGGAACGTTTAGGGGAATTGCATCGCGACGTAGCACTTTTGAGAAGAGCCAACACACCTCCGTTAGGCACACGTTACGAACAAGTGGCAAGAGATTGTCGGGTATTAGAGCAACAATTAGAGCATTATCAAATGGAACTAGAACGTCTTAGAAACGTGTTTGATGCGCTTTGGGATGAACAGATATGTAGAATTCACATAGAAAAAGAATATTCCATTCACAGGTATTCTTCAGATTATATTATCGATAAAGGCAAAAATATCTCCTACAACATCTTGATTGATATATTTTTTCTTTATTTAGATGAATGATATTCTATCATTGAGAAGTCAGGTAAAACAATTGCAGAATCTTGCTCAACAATTAGAACCATTTATAAAATCCTTTGCAACTGGAGTGAGTGCTGGTGAAGTAAGCATGACAGCTTCTGATGTAGCCAGTAATCAGCATTTACAGGCATTATTGGATCACTTGGCACGGTTACAAATGCAGGAACCCCCACAACCACAAACTCAAGCTCCAACTAAGGATCATCGACATTCGCGCACTACTGCCACCAGTGCTGATAATGCACTTTACATGAAAGGTATATATATTTTTACTTATAATTTGTCTCAATTTTAAGATTATATATAAATTTTATATATTTAGAAACCAAAGAGGTACCGACACGTTGTCGTACTCCTTCCGGTGGTGTCGAAGCTGTTTTGGATTCGAGTGGAAATATCGTTGTCTATGGAACAGCCAAGTCTACAGATCCCAAAAGAGGAGTGCTTAGTCAATTGATTGAGAAAGCTAGAAGTAAAGAGGATCGTAAAAAGTCACCAGGAAGAGAGGAAAGTCGCGATCGTAGTCAGAGTCGACGACCGAGAAAATCTCCCGATAGTACAAAACCTAAGACACCGCCTGGTCACTGGTCTGCCAGCAAAGTACGTTCTTTGTATCGATCTTTGAAGGGTGGCAGCGGAGACAATTCTGCCGAGGGACTTGATCAAGCGGAAAGATGTACTGATTCCCAGCAACCACAGTCGCATACGGCTGGTAAGAGCAAATCTGTGAGGATTGTATGTACTAAATGATTAAATAACATTAGAAAAAAATTTAATGCTTCGATGATTAAAAAATTATGTAGATAGTATTTATAAATTGATGTAAATAAAATTCTGATAAATGTACGCAAGAATTATTATACTATCGCGTTTAATTTAGGAACGATAAGTGTTAATCTCATTTAAATGTTATTCTCTTTTTAAATCATTTCAGCTAATCAATTAATTAAGTTAATGAACAGAAACTTTCAGAATAAAGCCAACATATCAAGAATTGGAATCGATATTATATTATATTATAGTTAAAATAATATTAATGGGATACTTAGTAATTTTTTAATTTTTTAGTTTTTTAATACTATTTTTTTCATTTGAAATTCTATAAAAATAATTAAAATAATCCATAAACATATGGTCCAATTAAATTCATTCTTTAATTAATCTTTCGTATTAACTTTTTCAAATTCTTCTATTTAACGAAATAAATATTTTGCATTGAATCTTAATTAAAAATTACATATCTTAATTTTTTTCTGTTCTAAAAATATTTTTATCAAATCAAATCAAATGAATTTTTTTATAACATTAATTTCTCTAAAATATCAACATAATTTATTTTACAAAGGAAAATATATGATGAGATATATTTGATTTGATTCATCCTGATCCATTCATTTAAATTATTCATATATTTCCCTAACAGGCGAAGAAGGAGAATATCAACGAATTTCGGAGGCATCCAGCACGGGAGAGGCGAAAAAACGCGTTCAGGCTCAGGTACATGCAGTTCCCGACGAACAATCAATTTCTACAAGTAAAGGAACCAAAGTGTATCCGGCCAGTGATTCGGAGGACGTATTCTACGCGGATGAAAAGGCCTCGACAGAAGTGAGGAGACGTCGTCGTGCGAGTTGCGACAGCCTAAGTACCACTGGCTCAGGAAGCAGGCGATCGAGCATCATTGATGGGACGGTAGGTCAATCCGCGCAGGATCCCAGGAAAACAATGGTTCTTTTGATCGGATCTACACCGAAGTCGTCGTCTCTGGTGCAGAAGCAGCGTTCCTGGGAAACATTTCCGCGGCCAAAAAGCAAACGCAGCGTAACGACTACCGAGGGTGGAGCTTCGTCCCTTAGCCAATTGAAGAAAACAGATAGTTTCGAGGGACACGAGGAAACGGTGAGGACGCTGGTGGCAGCCGTGCAGGAAACGAGGTCGCATCTACATCATCGTCATATGCACCATCATCGCCATCACCGGAAGAGCAAGACAAATTAAAACAACTGATCAGTTGATCAGTCTTGTTCGAGGAAGATCCGCGATGAAGGTTACAAGGAGCTTTTTTCAAGAGGTATCCAGCCCGGATGGTCAAAGTGCGGAAGTAGATTTTAAGTAGAAAGAAAACTAAATCGAAATAAAAGTATTTATTAGACTGTTTTGGTAGTTTGATTTGCATTTGGCTATCCGGGAAAAAGTCAATACCCTCCAAAATAATGCCTAGCATACATCGGAGAAAGTACTATCGAAAGACTGTATGTTTACGATAGCACATTATTATTGGTAGGAAATTAATGTTATGCAAAATGGTACTACAAGGATTTTTTTTCCAAATATTTTGAATGTTTTATTAGAGATGTTATTATAATAAAAAGGAAATAGAAAGGGCATTTCGTGTGATGTATATAATACTAAACGAAAATAATTTTACGAATTAGAAATCATTTATCGCTATAAACTGCCATTGATGAAAACACCTTCGACTAGTGCACGTTTTTACTTCTATGAAATATTGTGACTTTTTCGAATTTTATTTTTGGGTTTGGACCAAGAACTGTTTTCAATATTTTTTATATAATCATCTTGTATAATTGGTCGGGTAATTTTTACTCCCATGTATGTCTAGTCAGAGTTGTTTCAGGGTCAACCAGCCTTCAACGTAGAGCAGTCCTCAATTTTTTATTGAACAGTGTTTTGATTGCACTTTGAAGCGCCGAAGGTCATAATATCGCTGCCAATAGTAAAAAATAAAAACAATACGTACATTATGTATACATATATATAAAAAAAAAAAAATTGAAATTGATAAATGGTAATCTTGTTGTTGATGCAATCTTTACATGGTGCATAAAAACATTCAGAGACTCGAATTAGAATTAGAGACAGACGTCGATAAATTATATGTGGTATACACGAAGTTAGGATTTAATTAATACTATTACAATCGGTATTATTACTACTACTACTATTATTATTATTACTACTATTATTATTATGAAAAAGAATAAAAAGATAAACAAGAAGGAAAAAAAAGAAAGAAATGGAGGAAAATAATTTTCCATGCTGCTCAAATCGCGCGTTTTCTTTAATTTGGATTTTAGAATTGGATTTTAGAAGGAATAAATTTTATAAATTGGTTGAAATTGATCCATAAAAATTAGAATTTATATATAATAAATTCAAAGTACTTTATACAATATATATCAAATCTCTATAGTTTAACGACGAACAGATCATCGATTATATATGAGAGATTAAAGTAAGTAACCACTACTTTATCTTGATAAGAAAATAATAAAAATAATAAATAAGAAAATAGCCTAATTACAAGTGTACTTGTAATTTGCCAAATGCACGAGAATCCATTGTCTATTCCACAATATGCTCTAATTGCAGAGGTGCATTAAATGTTTTTACAATTACACATATATGTATAAAATGTTTGAGGTAATTGTATTATGAAAAATATACAGCTTATACTATGAAAAATGAAAGTTTTTCATGGAAATTAAATAAATCGTTTAAAAGATTAAAAAGATATCATGGTCTTTGTATAGATCATGAATTACAATTATAGTAAATGTACACGATTAATTATACATGAAAAATGTCAAATTGCTGATAATAGAGAAATATACAAGTTACAAAGTATAAAGTTGTTCAATTGTTAGTAAATATTTTGACTGTTATATTATTTAATACAATTTATTAACATTTAATTTAATTTTATATATTCTTTTCTCGTTGTTATCAATATCAATTTTTATTGTTTAATGATTTGATGAAAAATACATATACAATATATATATATTACATCAATGAGGTATTTTCAAGTTATCTTTTTATAATTGGTTCATTGAAAACATACGGTGAAAATTTAATGTATTATATTTAGAATTTATTATATTTAGAATTATATTAATGTACACTATAAACATTACATTGAAATATACATTGAATGAAACATAAAATGAAAATAAGAATACGCGTTTTATACATTTAACATTTTAATGCTACTTGATGCAGATTTGGTTATATTAATTTGAATTATATTATTATTTTTGTTTATATAAAATATGTATAAAATATACAGTTCATTGCTATAAATTTATATTCTATATTTTTACCTTTTTATGATTCTTATATTATTAAAATATATTACAAGTTGGATAAACTGTAGAAAAAATTGATTGCAAATAAATTAATTAAAAATTACAACTTACATATTTATTATTACTTTATTAAATTCTTTTCTATTGTTTTTAAAACATTAATGTCGACATTGTTTATAGATTCGTTTAAAGATTCTTTTTCAACAAATTGTGTTTGCTCAATTTTATCATTATTTTTTTTAATGCTATTATCAATTTCATTTGATTTTGTGTCACTTTCATAATTCCACATATGCTCTATCTGTGTCGATTTCAATGATTTCAAATTAATTAATTCGATAATAGCATTCTTTTCATCTGATTCTATTAATATTTGCAATGCTTTTCGAAAGTGGTCTATCAAACGCGCTAATTCAAATATCGTGATATTTTTACTAACATTTAACGTTATATCAAATGGATTATAAATATAAAGCGGTGATGAATCTTGTTTCAATTTGACTTTTCCTTCCTTTATGCAAATTGCTTGCATTTTAAAATCAAAAATACTGTAATATTCGAAAAATCCATATAAGAGATTATATAAAGAGTCATTATCATTATATTTTATAGAATTTTTCCAATTAAGATACCAATCTTTTTTCGATATTTCTGTAAAAAGAAATATAAAATTTAATACAATAAATATATAAAATATAATTCTTTTAATATTTATACTTACTTGTGTAATAGTTTATTGTATTTAGAGAAGGTAATATATTTTTTATTTGTAAATAAAATAAAATTAACAAAGTAAGTGAAAAATTCGTGATCCATTGCCCTGAAATTTCCTTTGTTACATTCATATTTCTTGCCCATTTACGAATAGTGAAAATAAGTGGTTTAACACGCCAATCCATTTCTCCGTATGCATATAACAATTCAGACATATGTAACGCAACTCTGTATATACATACATAAATTCAAAAGTAATCGTAACATTTTATAAAGATAAGAAATATTTACTACATACACGTTTGTGCTACTAAGATCACAATACATATTTGTATTTTGGTTAAAAAATTTAATTATAGGAACTCGTGCTTCAAGAATCTTTCTTATATCGGTAATACCAGGAATACATATTTTCATTATTGTGCCTATTGCATCCAAGAATTCTTTCTGTTCATTCCTTTCTGTAAGATGAACAGGTTGTGTCATATACAAAAATCTTTTTGAAGACTGAAAGAAGATTTCAATTTCTATAAAATTAAAACAAGATTAAATCATTATAATAAAATTATATTATATATATATATATACACACTTACATTATTTACATTAAAAATGCATGTTCTACATAATAAATCAAGATCGCATCCTATTTGACCAAAACCATTAACAGAGGATCCAAATGGTATGACAGATAAATTGGTAAATAATCTAGATAAATAATAAGAAATTTGTTCAGCAGTAAAAAACCTTAACCTAGTATCTAAATCTGTAATTTTTAACATATTGTAAAGAGAAACCATTTGTTCCGATACCTAAAAACATTAATTAATTCAATATTATTAACTTTTAATACATATTATTATACAATTTATAATTAGTTTTATACATTACAGAGTTTTTACGTTCTAATGTTTCTTTGACTTGATTGGCGCTAGGAGGTTTAAATATGGATGAATTTTTTGATAACTTATTATTATTTAACATATTTATAGTTTTATACAAAAATAATGGTGTAACAGAATGAGCATAATTTGGATTTATCTTACATGAAGCTAACTTTCTAAAAATTTCCACATCTTTCTCTGTTATCAATTCTAATAATACAAAACACTGGAAAGAATATAATACACATAATTATTCAAATACGTATTTAATATTGTAATCTTCAAAATCAACAAGTATAAAATAAAAATCACAGAAAATACTTACTTTATCATTTGTTGTATTATAAAAAAATATTTTCTGAATATTCACATATTTTGTACAAAATTTTTCCAAATCATGAATATGATTTTCTGCTACCTTTACTAAAATAGATCTTTTTGCTTGAATTTGTCTAAATTTAAGCATCTGTTCAAACGTCATATATTTATTTTCACCTGCAAAATTTCTTATTTTTAATTTACTTTTGACTTTTTAACACATTTATTAAACAGTGCTTTTTATAATAATGTTAATAACACTTGCTACCATACTTAAATTATTTAATTATTTAAAAAGATTATAAGATAAAAGTTATTCTACTTGATATTTTAAATTATTTTCAATCTTTTATTGTATGACATATATCTGTTAATTGTAATACATATTCAATGTTAAAGTTTCAATTAGATGATACTAATAAATATAATAATTGATATTAATAAATAAATAAAACATAAGTAAAATTCTAACCTAGAATGAACTTAATAGAATGATTATAAGTCATTAAAATAAAAATAAAAAAAAATTATATTAACAAATTAATTATGGAATAAAAAAAAAAATAAATTTAAAGCCGAAATAATAAAAAAAATTTACTATTGAAAGTATAATCATTCACGCAAATGAGGTTATGAGGGACCAAAAATATAATTTTTTAAAACTGATATTTTAAAAGCATACCATGCTTGATATTTGCCTGATTTTTAATATTATATTCTGTTTTACATCTTTTTATGTTTACTATACATTTACAATAAAATGTATTTAATACAAATCCAAAATTTAAATTAATTCGATGTATAAGCGCCATTTTTATATAATATACTCTAGCGCCAAACACGTGGAATTTGATCTAGACACATACTTACACGCATACTTACAATCGATAAAGTAAGTATTTACACTTACATATATTTTTGGATCAGTATGGAATAGTAATCACATTATTACATAATTAAAAATAATTAAAATATTAATTATTAATTTATTTAATAAATTTCGTTTAAGATTTAATTATTTGCAATCAAGCGAAATATAAGATTATTCATTTGAATTATTAATATAAATATATATATATAATTTTATATAGTTAACATACATAGTATTTATTATAAAATAATATCAAAAAGTTCAATTGATCTTAATTGATTTATTTATAAAATTGTTATCATAAATTTGACATTTTTTTGAAAAGTTATATGTTATAAAAACATTAAAATTTATATAAATATAATAAAGATTATATACATTATGTCATAATATTAAAAATTTATATAACATATAGAAGAATATTACATTGTATCTTGAACTTGAAAAAATTTTAAAATTCTTTTACATCCCTTGAAAGGAGCGCAGTATAATATCTAAGCCGGGCGATGACGTAAGCGCAGACTATCTTGCTCATTTCGATACATGCAAACATTTTTTTTCTTTAATAAATATCTTATTACCAGTTCCAAGAAATATTTAATTTTGTATCGTAATTTTGCAAATTTAAAGAAATTCTTGAAAAAAAAAAGAAGAAAAAAAGTTTATTGTAAATTTTTCAGGATATATACATATACATATATATATATATATATATATATATTTCCGATTTAAAAATTTTGAAATCTGAATATGAAAGAAAAGAAAATATCATAAAAATAGAATTAAAAATATTTTTACATTAAAAACGAAATTCCAATTGAATAACAAGAAATAAGCAGCACAAAAGTTATTTTTACTTTATACTAAAATTTCATTCGTAAAATGAATTAAATTCGTTATTCCAACGATAAAGAAACAAAGACAAACGCTTCAGTGTCGCGCTCTATCGGTCGATCGTTCAAATAGTCTGTAGATCGCTTCACAACTTCTTTTTCTCCGTTTCACCTGTATATATATTCTTTCGTATTTTACTTTAATCCATCGTTCCTTCTTTCTTTTTTCACAAAAGAAAATTTCAAAGGCAATATCCTGCGTTATTTCTTTCTTCCATTATCTTCAAATTTATTAATTTTACCGTTCTTCTTTCCTTCCAGCAACGAAAACCATCTATCTTTGTTTCTTCACTTTATAACGCGTATCATTGCTTCTCTCTACAATTCTCCCTCTCTCTTACCTCTCCAGTCGGCTCTTCGTCAGTTCGTCCTGCGAGGGGAATACAGAGGTAACAGGGACCGTGTACAGGGGACGAAGCCAGTGCAGTCTCGAGCCTCGCGTCGATCGCAACGGATTTCATTTGTTCCTCGGCTCTCTTCATGCTCGACTGCCTCTTTCCAGAGTAACAAACCGCCGACAGGTGTGTGGTGCAGTGGCGATAATAAAACACGTGAAAATAATCCTCTTGGCCAGAGGAACGTGGAAACGTTCTATTCGAAAGAGATCGATCTATTCCGTAAAAATTAACACGGTGGAATCGATGATAATAAAATAATCAGAATCCCTAAAGATATCCGTTCAATCAAAAATACCAGAAAGTAAATTTGAGAAGAGAATCTAATATAACTTTATCTCGCGATAATAAATATCGCGATAAATAACGGGAATATCGGTGAGGAATATCAAGTTAACCTCGCAAGAATACGATGATGATCGTTTTTTATCTCTACGAAGAGCACAAGATGAATCTTAGAGACATTAGAGTCTCGTAGATGATCGAGAAGAATTATTATCGAATTATTATCATCCACAATTTGGGGATGTCGACCTGCGCGAGATGGACTTTATGGCCGGCAAGAACGCGTTTTCGACGCTATCTGACGAGTATCGCGTGCTACCGGAAGTGTTGATGATGAACGAGCCGGATCCACGAGGTAGATCGAACTGGTGATTTCAAAACGAATTCCGGTGCTTCGTGAAAAGTGATATTTTTGACTTTTCATTTATCGTTTCCCTTTCTCGTTTACGCTCGACTCGTTCTTTCGTAAGAACAGTGGAAAAGATTTATTTGTTGTTCCGCCGATACCATAAAAAAAAGATCGGATATATCGCCTCGATAATTGAACAAATTTTTTTGTGGAAGACCGGTGATCAGAGACAGGTGAGATATTTTGGCAAACAATTGTTTTACATTCTCTTACATTCTCTTTCGTAATTTTGCATATTCGTGAGATATACTTTGCAATTTTTTTTTTTTTTTATAAAATACAACGTAATATATAGTATAAAAGGTGATATATGAAACGATTAACGAAAACGATACATTTACTCGATTTATCGCCCGATCAATTCATTGTATCAGACCGCGTATATCACGAGGATTAAGGCCTATTATTAAACGATCGTTTCGATTTTACGTTTTTAATTCGCGTTGACACCAAGATGGCGCAATATCTCTGGCTGCAAGCAAAGACTACGAAGACCACGTTGGCGGACATTCAAGGGCGCGGAAGGCGGCTGGAACGAGTTCTTGGCGAGGCTATTGTCAAAACGGATTGGATAAAAAATAAGAGACGAGATAGAAAATTCGTTACTTACGTCACCGCATCGCCCGATCATAAATTTTCGCTCTAAATTTGGTTCTCCATTCTCAAGGTCGTCGAAAGCGAGCACGCGCACATTTCACAATACTTATTTTGTCACTGCTTATTTCATCGTTTCCCCTATCTCCACAAAACTCCACCTATGACTCCTCAAAATGATATTATTTTTTTCACTACGCATCGTACGCATCATGGCTGAACCCTAAATTCTTAATCGTTCCCAACACTTAAAAAATTTAAACGAATAAATACTCTTCGTTCATAAATGATTATAATTCCCCCTAAATTCTGAACGTTGAATTTTTCACGAAATCGTATCAAAATTTTCATTGCCTGCAATGAAAATCTATCTAAAAATCAAGAAATCCTCCACATCTGGATATATACACGTCCACCTGTGTAATTTTTGTTGTACAAGGGAGGTATATTTGAAAAAAAAAAAAAATAGAATGGGCAGAGGGGTGTAACGCGAGAGTGGGTGACAGCTGGGCGAGCAGCGTGGAAACAACCGTTTCCTTTCTCGAGCGCGGAGGAGACACGCACACGGAAAATGGAGGGGCGAACATTGCCAACGGCTGAATGGGTATAACGTGGACTTCATAGTCGGTTTAATGAAACGGCATTATGCAACGGAACTACGCGAAAACGGGTACAAGGCTCGTGACGCGAGGTGTTCATCCTCGTAGGCAGGCACACGGTGTGGTGACCAAATATGCAGGCGCCAAGGCTGTCGGATTTTAATTTTCGTCTCGAAGGATTAAGATTAAATTCTTGGATGAAAGTTCGAATTTCGTTCTCGAATCAGCTTCTTCGAGAATGAGACGAGCATAGCGAGGTAAATTGTCCCTTCCTCCAAGGTAATTGTTAGTTTTTTTTTTTTTTTTCTTTATACAGAAAGAAATTATCGGCAGGATTGTCGTTTAACAGATTGTCGTTTAACAGATTCTCGTTAACGAGGCTATTGTTTTAGTCATAAATCTCGGGCTTTCGTAACGGCAACGCGAACGGCATACGTATCGATGACTGAGAAGACGGATATAGCCGTCTTACGCGACAGAAGTCACCGGTGACTTCAACGCCTGGTATGCCATTTACGTGGGCAGCGTTTCAGCGTGTACTCTTCCTCCACCTATGCCCTCCAACCGAATGAAACGATTCGAAAGAATTCTTTTTTTTACGCGCGAAATAAAACGTACGGCAAAAAGGAGGGAGGAGGAGGAGGAGAGGTATCGATCGTTTCATATAAAGATTGCAAAAATATATCTTTTTTTTCCCCTCCAGAACGAAAATTTCCAGGGGGGGGGGGGAATAAATTTCCGAAAGAAAAGAGAAAGTGAAAGGGAGGAGGAGTGGAAGAGAGATCGTACGGCCCTGGACGGCTCCCAAGTGCATCGGTTCACGAGGCACGAGCCTGGCTTTCCTGGCCGCGGCGAGAAACAAGGTGGAAAGAAAAGGTGGCAGAAGCTCGCGGGATGTCGATCGGCCAGCAGCGTTCCGCATATCCCGCGATTCGTCTGGTCGCGAGCCCGTGTTCAAACGAAAATCGGAAGGGAAACGGTGCGGTTGTGGGAGTGGCGAAAATGGCACCACGGTTCGATCGAGCACGGTGGTCCAGCTCGTTGTTGGCCGAGGCCGTTCCTGTTCCGTGCACCGGCCTCTCCTCCTGCTCGAAAAAGTGAACGTTGCGTTATGTTCCACCTTCGCGAAACACCGCGTCGCTTTCTCGCGATCGCACAGCTCTACTAACCACCTCGAAAACGTTTCTCCCTCTCTGTCCCTTCGAAATTATCGAACCCAATCTCCATTTCCTCGAATTTGATCCCGAGATTTCCCGCCATTTTCTCACGAATCCTCCCCTCCCCTCCCTCCCCTCTTTCGGCTCGAGATCGCGAGATCGATATCTCGTCCAATTTTGCCGATTTTTTTTTTTCTTTTTTTCTTTTTTTTCTTACGAGCAGAGGAGAAGAGATCTTTCGGATTGCATTGTGGTGCGCGATAAAGACATATATAATTGATACGATGTATATTGATATCGAGTGAATGTATCGATCGAAAGAGACGTGGATAATCGTGCGATTTTTTCTCGTCGCAAGTGTTTTTCTTTCTTTCTTTCTTTCTTTTCTTTTTTTTTTTTTGCACGGTCGATCGTACTCACGGGAGTTCGACCCAGTTATTAATAAGACTTTCTCTTTTATTTTAGCCATGGACTGGCGGGGAGTCGCATTGGCATTTTTATCGGTAAGTAAGAAAGAATCCCATCCTTTGTTACGACGATACGAAATTGGGTGCACGCGCTTTCTCATAGACTCGATAGAATCGTAGTTTTATTCCTCTCTCTCTCTCTCTCTCTCTTATCACTCGAATCAAATTTATTCCTTGAACGTGCAACGCGAAATGCACGGGTATATATAAGTGCGACCAATGCCACGCTACGAAATTCCCCTGCAACCTTTGATCAACCTTTCGCCGCTAACTCAAGTTTGAAATCAGCTGGTTTTCAAACTCGATTCTTCGTGCCATCCATTTTTCGATTTTCCGTAATTCGTAATAACCTTTCTCCCGACGGAAAATAAACTCGACTAGGGGGAGGGGGGAGGAGAAGTACGTTGGGCAGGAATGCGGGGAATTATGTAATCCTCTTTGTTGGTACGACGCAAGTTGCTAGGAAAATCGTCGTCGAGATGGCTGCAATTTTTCAACAATTCTCTTTGAATAATTTTCAAACAGCTCGTTCGAACGTGTATTAAATTGTTCTTCGATTATTTGCAATTCGTGAAAGTTGGGCTGAATTCGTCGTGCGACGAAATCAAATTCACTTTTTCCCCTCGAAATAAAATAAAAACCATGAATATTGTCATCGATTGCTTTGACATGGTTTTCCTTTTTTTCTCTTTTCTTTTCTTTTCTTTCTCGTTTACAAACTCGTGTTTAACAAGCGTTGCAAACTTTCGTATTGCCCCTCGAGCACGAAATGAAGACTGCACGAGGTAATTCGAGTGGATGCTCGTTCTTTTTATGGTAATCATAGCAAACAACGCCTCGTAAAAAACGAAGCGATGTCTCTCTTGACAAAGAGACCGGCGGGTTTGATGTCGTTAACCCATTCAGAAGGTTGGAATAATGGGTCTGCGCAACGCTTAATAATCGACAACCACGTTGAAATTTCAACGATTATACCGATTATTATGCCGTCGACCGCGGGCAATTCAAAACAAGTGGGCGTTTCTCAAGTTCTTCCGGTTTTTAAAATGCCTTTAAATGCCGGTTTGCCGGAACGAGACATTTTTCTTTTTTCTTCTTCCTCCCCGCCCCCTCCCCCCCCATTTCGTAACAACTCGCCAATCTCGAGAGCGAATGTGTTTACACGCGTGTACAAACGATATAACGCAAAGTAAATCCGAAAGAATAAAAACTCGCAAGTTCGCGAGAAGAAAGTAGTTTCGCGAGTAAAAGTAAACAATGGACGTCGAAGAAATATTGAATTTTCAAATGGATATTTGAACGCGTTTAAAGGAGAGAAAGAGAAAAAAAAAAAAAAACGGGATTGAAAGCAAATTCTCGACGACAAAAATTGGACGTCCTCTCGAGGAGGACGTTGCAAACGTTTGCGGCGCACTCGAGAACAACGGAGTTCCAAAAAAAAAAAAAAAGAAGAAATTTCTTGTATCTTCTCGCGAGGAACATAAATCTTGAAAAGAAATCATCTTGAAAGGACTCGAAGGGGAGGGAAGGGGTGTAGTTTCAGTGAGAGAAAAGAAAAAGAGAAAAAAAAGAAAGAAAGAAAGAGAAAACCAAAAACTAGGGAAACGTGTCCTCGCGTAAAAATCAACGAGGACACACAGCACACGGAGGATAGACAGAAATTTCAAAGTGTTGGCAAACATTTGCGCACGCCTGAGAAAGAGAGACAATCCGTCGTTGGCCACGCCTACTTTTACTCGGTGTTCTTTTAAATATCGGCGCGGGATCTCTTAAGAGGTATCTCCCGAGCTCGTTTTCACAAACGTTTCACTGTGAAGTCGATAGGATAGGATAGCCGATACCGGAAGTGAACCGTTAAACGCTCCCTTACGAGCAGTTCACACGTTCACAGTCTGAACTTTGGTCGCTGTTTAGAAGACGATATAAACGATATAAACGGTGGAAGAAACGTATTTTTCTTTCTGACCATTCGTCGTGTTTCGTCACGTATACCGATCCAAAACGATCCGTATTCGCATCTCGATGCAATAGCTGAATTGACGGGCAAAAATAATAATTGAAGTTAGGAATAAACGTCACGCACAAGTTATTTCGATAATTCATCGATCTACGAATAAATGTTATCCAGTAGTAGTATTTTAATAAGCAATTGTTCGAAATTTTTCTAATTAATTTTCTAATTAATGCATCTGACATATGGCATGGAAGAATTCCAGAATAATTCTAACGTATCGGTATAATATAAAAAAATATTTTTATACTTCTTTCTAAAAATATGTAATTATTATTTGTAACAATAATTTACAAATGTTAAATTTTATATTCCAGTTTGTTTGGGATATAATAATTGTGCATGTACGAATACGAGCTGGACATATGTTAATATTGTATAAAAAAATAATTGATAGTTTCGAAAATATTTTAGTTTCCAATCTTGGATGATTATCACAACGTAAATAAAATATAATTTTTACGATTTCGAATGTTCAAGTTATAGCTCTTCCACTATTGTGACGCGTGTCAGGTGTCAAGATTGTCAACAAAGCGTTTGAAGTGGGGGGGAGGGGGGGGGGAAATAGACGATCCTAGCGAAGGACATCTCTTGTATCGCGAAACTTCTTCTTTCCAGCAGTGAATAATATATACTAACGCGTCGACACGTTACCTTCCAACTACCTTTTTCGTCGAAATTATTTACATTCGTTATTTTTGATCAACTTTGCCCAGTACACGAACGATTTTTAATTTGAACAACGTGTTCAAATTATTAAAAAAAAAAAAAATTATAAAATTTACGAAGAATCTCTCCACGTCACTTCTCTTCACAAATAGCAAACCGTACGATTATTGCGTACGTGATGAGATTGTTGCGTCGTGGTGAAAATAATTAGTCGGATCGTGTGGCGGGGACGAGCGTGGCGTTTCAAGATCTCTTACTCTTGCAACTTGTCGAAAACAAGATTAATCCGAAAGGATGGAGTAATTGCGATTTTTTCCAGTTACGGACGGAGTAAAGAACATTATCACGGAGAGCGGTCAATAGAAAATCACGGGTTTGTTTAGCTCGAGAGAGAAAGTCGTGAGTGAGTGACGCGGCCAAGTTTAGAACGAGTCATTGCGTAAAATGATTTTTTTCTTTTAATCTGATCCATTCGAAACTCATCGGCTTGCGTGATTCGCAAGGGCGCTCGTATTTGAATAAATCCGAATTCTGGACGGGGCAGAATTTTCGAATTTCTGTACACCACCCACGTTCGACAATGCTCAATATCTATAAATCTTCCAGTTTCGCAACTTCTTCCATCGTTTCGCGAACGTTTAAGACGATTATAAGGAGTTTTAATCTTTCGATTTTTGGAGAGATATTTTTGAAAAAGTAATTTTGATTAAAAGTTAGTTTTCAAGTAGCTACTTATTAAAACGCCCGAACAATTTTATTCGTGTAGCTTAATTATAATCGAATAATCGGTAGAATTTCGTTCTAGGAAAGCGTTCTTCTTCGACAATTACAATTATTTCCAATTATTATTATCACGTTTCGAGCATAAATTATCGAGGCAACTAACGCGACCAACTTTACTTCAATTTTGAAAGTAAATATAAATAAAGAAGAAATAACTCGACTGGTTAATCGAGATATTTTTGCATTCGATCCAAGAGGCACGTTAGAACAATGACGTCACGGAGAGATACTTATAGGGTAGAGTGAATAATGCGACTTGCGTTATGCGCCACCAGGATCCAGCGCGATGGGAGGCGTTCTCAAGGAGATCTCTGCCTACGCTAGATCCGCCATCTACGTCGATCCGATTACCCATTGATCCACTTGATAACTCGGCTGCCCTCGGGCTAGATTACAACGTACGATGGAGGACCCCTCGATCGAAAAAAGAAAAGAAAAGAAAAGAAAAATAGTCTCGAGGTTAATGGCCGCGAGATGATCGCATGTTAATCGACGAAGAAAAGGATGGGATCGATTATTTTAAAATTGTTTCCTCCATCCTCTGTGCACATTTACCGTATATTTATCGGCTACTCGGAACGGAAGAGGAAATCTCTTTTAACCACAAAGTGGTATAAGAGAGACTTTCATTTTTTCGAGAATAAAAAAATACGAGTATGTAAATATTCTCTGGAAACGTGGGATATCTCCATTATTTTTTTTTTATCGCAGGGCTTGGCAAATCAGTAATTGTAATTATCTTAAGTAAAGTTTCATCTTCGAGCGATAAAGCGAAGGCTTCGATCTTCGGGTTTTTCGATCCGGGAATAATGTTAGAAAATACGATTATGCAAATATTCTCTCTCGTTCGAGGTTTCGAAAAAAAAAAAAAAGGTTGAACGAATAAAAAACAATATCCAGATTTAGATTTTGTGTATACCTATCATCAATCTCGAAGAAATATGTTTTAAAGTATGACACCCACAAGATCTTTCAATCTTTAGAATAAACAGAAAAGAAGGAAAGTGTATTTTCATCATTTTTTTTTTTTTTATCGCAAGATGTATAGTTTGTATACCTGGATAAATCATCGGTCAATGCGATTACATTCGAGGATCGTTTTCGAAAGTTTCATCTTCGAATATGATAAAATATAACAATATCCATGAAACGTTTTCCATCGGTGATCAGTCTCATCCTCGATGCAGATTACTCGATGCAAAACTGCACTTTGCACCGCGTCCTTGAGATTATGTGAATAATTGGAATCATCACGGATGGAGTGGAAACTTTCGAGCGGACATTAACCGAAAGTTGAAAAAAGTAGCTAAGTTAAAAATTTCGAATAAAGTTGTTCTTTAAGTGATTACTTATTAAAATGACATTTATTACTAGCTATTATGGAATATTATAGAATCGTCGATCGTATATAAACCTCGGCCGTTTGCCATTACAATTATTTCCGATTGTTATTATATTATATTTTCAACGACAAATCATCGAAGCAAGTTTGTTCAAGTGTTAAATGTTACCCGTCACTGTCCCCACGCCATAGTCGGGCATTAACTCAAAATGTTGAAAAAGTAGCTGGTTAAAAATTAAAAAATAATTACTTATTAAAAACTCTCGAATGACATTTATTGCTAGTCATTATAAAGTTGATAACTATATAACCTCGGCCGTTTGTCATCACAATTATATTATATTTTGAACAATAAATTATCGAGGTAACTTTGTTCGTAATTGTTAAATTTTGCCCGTGGTTCGATTCAGGCTAGGAGGAGGAGGATTCTGCGTGCGCGATTCCACTTATCCGACAAAAGGCCCACGAGGTGGAATAAACTTCTCCGGTATAACACGAGCTCTATTCCTCCTGTTTCTCCGGCTTCACCCTGCCGTGACACGATTTGACACGAACATAATTGCACCCTGGGATCAAGCAAATTCTGTAATAAAATCTACGATAAAATTTTTAATCCAATATCACTTTCCTCTTCTTCTTTCTTTTGATATTAACAATGCAGTATATTAATGAATGGATTTGAACGATTCGATACTTTGTCTTGATGCTATATTAATTGATGGATATTCGAATTTCAATGATTCGATATTTTGCCTTGATGCTATATTAATGGATGGATATTCGAATTTGAACGATTCGATATTTTATCTTGATGTTTATTGTATTATTGGATTATTATGGATTATATTATATTATGGATTATATTATATTAATGGATATTCGAATTTGAATGATTCGATACTTTGCCTTGATACAATGCTATATATTAATATTCGAATTTGAACGATTCGATACTTTGCCTTGATGCTATATTAATGGATGGATACTCGAATTTGAACGATTCGATATTTTACCTTGATACTATATTAATTGATGGATATTCGAATTTGAATGATTCGATATTTTGCCTTGATACTATATTAATTGATGGATATTCGAATTTCAATGATTCGATATTTTACCTTGATACTATATTAATTGATGGATATTCGAATTTGAATGATTCGATATTTTGCCTTGATACTATATTAATTCATGGATACTCGAATTTGAATGATTCGATATTTTGTCTTGATGCTATTACTGGATTATTATGGATATTATATTAATGGATATTCGAATTTGAATGATTCGATATTTTGCCTTGATGCTATATTAATTCATGGATACTCAAATTTGAACGATTCGATGTTTTCCCTTAATGCTATATTAATGGGTGGATACTCGAATTTGAATGATTCAATATTTTGTCTTAATGCTATTACTGGATTATTATGGATATTATATTAATGGATACTTGAATTTGAATGATTCGATACTTTACCTTGATATTATATTAATTCATAGATACTCGAATTTGAACGATTCGATATTTTGTCTTGATGTTATATTAATGGATGGATACTCAGATTTGAACTAATCGATATTTTACCTTGATACTATATTAATTGATGGATATTCGTATTTGAACGATTCGATACTTTGTCTTGATGCTATATTAATGGATGGATACTCGAATTTGAATGATTCGATATTTTATCTTGATGTTATTATTGGATTATTATGGATATTATATTATATTAATGGATATTCGAATTTGAATGATTCGATACTTTGCCTTGATACAATGCTATATATTAATATTCGAATTTGAACGATTCGATATTTTGCCTTGATGCTATATTAATGGTTGGATACTCGAATTTGAACGATTCGATATTTTGCCTTGATGCTATATTAATGGTTGGATACTCGAATTTGAACTAATCGATATTTTACCTTGATACTATATTAATTGATGGATATTCGAATTTGAACGATTCGATACTTTGTCTTGATGCTATATTAATTGATGGATATTCGAATTTGGACGATTCGATATTTTGCCTTGATGTTATATTAATGGATGGATACTCGAATTTGAACGATTCGATACTTTGATGCAATGCTGTATATTAATGGATGGATTACTCGAATTTAAACGATTCGATACTTTGCTTCATATCCCAGCATATGCGAAAATAGTCGTTAAACCACTTTCATCACCTCATACCGATATATATATATATATATATATATATCGGTATGAGGTGATGAATATATTTAATATATATATATATTAAAAACGTGTTCGTGTTTATTAGACAATTTCTCCAATACGCGCGTTTTCATGGCACGCTGTCTTTCGATGTGTGAGAAGAATCGTACACGCCAACTCTCACTTTCCACTCCGAGAGCCGAGTTGGATTTATTTATTTCACCGATATGGGATCGTAATAAGCGAGAGAGAAGGAAAAATTCCATCCATCGATTTAGAACGACGCTATTGGAACGAAACCAGTTCAGGGTTGCGTGGATCCTGTCTTCGAGACCGTCCATCGGGTCCATCGGGTACAGAAAAAGAACGGACGCAACGATTACACACGCTCACCTAATCCCGACGGTGGCCGTGCCAGTGTACACGTAACACGTCGATACCTAAATCGGCGCGGATCGGAAAATAAAAGTGTGTCGAGGGAGTAAGAGGTGTCTCTCGGTTGCCCTTGCTTCGTTCACCGTCATCGTCCAATCGCTTGGAGAACGTTTCACGCGTTCTAAATCAAACGATTTTACGATTCTACTTCTTCTACAATTCTCTCTCCAAGTTTGCGAGAATCGATTGCTCGTTTCACGAGTATCAATGACGATTATAATTACGACGCTTGGAACCCAATACTCGCGTTTAATTCTAATAATGTTGGTTATGCTGGAAGATGGATCTCTTCTGTCTCGAAATGATATTTTCACGATTATCACAGACGATGATCAACGATATTTGTGAACCAATCCGTATAATTACGGATTATCCTAAGATCAGGGGACGAGAAATTTGGATAAAGATTGTGCGCTATGGAAGAATACGAATCGTCTTATTCATTATTTAATCTCCAACGAGATCCATTCGATTCGAATATGGAGGGTGTTTTCGCGACAAACGATTACGTATTCGCTCGAAACTAATCAATGTTTGGCTTTACCATCTTTGGGATAATGTAATTAGGAAGGAATCAGGCTCAGAACGTCCTTTCTCCATTATTGCCTTGTCTCTAACACAACCTTGTTACGAACAGCGGGGCTAGGATTTCACGGATGAAATTAATCATCGACGAGCTCGTTGCCTGTCCTCAACGCTACGCCTTCAAAGTTAATTTCGAACGATATCGGGGGTCGCCCTCTTCACGATGAAATTTTTTACCATCTTTCCTCGAGAATTAACCTTATCTTATTGTTGCAACCCCTTAATAGAAATTTGAATTTCACAGGGCACGATGATCAATTGATGAGAGAGAAGAATTAAGATAGCACGATAGATGTTCTCGAGATTGTCCTCGAAGAAGTGCGTTTTATCGGCACATCGTTTTCCACAACCGGATCCTCGTGGATGATAATCAAGTTTAATCGATGAGAAAACGCGGCTGTAAAATCTCACGATTCGTACGTGCCGCGAGCGAAGAGAGAGAGAGAGAGAGAGAGAGAGAGAGAGAGAGATTCAGTCGAATCATGCGTTACCTGACATTTTCGCAACGACTTTTTTCATCGATAACGCGCTCTTTCAGTATCGAATTCTACCCTTCATTTCCAACACTTTTAATCCACTTTTCCCATTTCGAGATATTACTATCATTTCATCAAACGATTATAAATATACAAATGTTAAAAAGAAGAAGAAGAGATGGAAATTTTTCCCACTTTTCGAAATCATCATATTAAAAAGAAGAAGAAAAAGAGATGGAAATTTTCGACATTTTTAATCCACTTTTCCCATTCGAAATCATCATATTAAAAAGAAGAAGAAAAAGAAGAGATGGAAATTTCCAACATTTTTAATCCACTTTTCGAGATCATTATCATTTCACTAAACGACTAATATTCAAATATTAAAAAAGAAGAAAAAGAAGAAATGGAAATTTTCAACATTTTTAATCCACTTTTCGAGATCAGTACCATTTCACTAACGATTAATATCCAAATATTAAAAAAGAAGAAAAAGAGAAAAGAAGAGATGGAAATTTCCAACATTTTTAATCCACTTTTCCCATTCAAAATCATTTCACTAAACGACTAATATCCAAATATTAAAAAAGAAGAAGAAGAAAAAGAAGAGATGGAAATTTTCAACATTTATAATCCACTTTTCGAGATCGTTATCATTTCAGTAAACGATTAATATCCAAATATTAAAAAAAAGAAGAAGAGATGGAAATTTTCAACATTATTAATCCACTTTTCCCATTCGAAACCATCATTTCGCTAGATGACTAATATCCAAATATTAAAAAGAAGAAGAAGAAGAAAAGATCCAATTTCCAACATTTTTAATCCACTTTTCGAGATCGTTATCATTTCACTAAACGACTAATATCCAAATATTAAAAAAGAAGAAAAAAAAATGGAAATTTTCAACATTTTTAATCCATTTTTCGAGATCAGTACCATTTCACTAACCGACTATAATATCCAAATATTAAAAAAGAAGAAGAAGAGATCCAATTTCCAACATTTTTAATCCGCTTTTCCCATTCGAAATCATTTCACTAAACGAGTCAGTATAATATCCAAATATTAAAAAAGAAGAAGAGGAAAAAGAAGAGATGGAAATTTCCAACATTATAATCCACTTTTCGAGATCAGTACCATTTCACTAACCGACTATAATATCCAAATATTAAAAAAGAAGAAGAGTTGGAAATTTCGTGTCAAAGCTTTGTCCCACGCCACCTGTTGTTCCCCCTCCCTCCCTCCCTCCCTTAATCGATTCTCCGGACGATCTAACGAGCATCTTCTCTTCTCTTCCAGATCACAATAGCGAGGCACAGCACCACACGCGCGGCCCAAATACCCCAGCAACTGCCTACATGTGAGTATACGCTTTCTAATTGTACTTGTGCATATCATAACTAATTAGAGAGGGTCCATCCATCAACTTATCTATCCTGGTGGATGGTACGAGATTCGCCCCTCTCGGCTGAATGCTTCTTTCTCGTTCGAATCAACGTCGAATACGTACATATACGAAAAAGAAGAAAAGAAGAAAAAAGACGCTTTCCACGCGCTTTCTAAAGCAGAGCACAATACGAACGAGCGACGACAATGATTCGAGGGAACAATGACCGAAGATGGATTCAGCCACGAGTGGTAATTAGTCGGTGGGGGAGCGGCCGCTTTGATTGATCTGGACGTTCAATTAATTGCGCTCGTGATTAATTATCGGCGATGGAATAAGCGGGCTAATTAGAGAATGCGTTTTGCTCCTGCATGGAAAAATGTGCCTACCCGTATTCCTCGAGGATGATAGGCTAACGATTACTCGTCGAATATTATCTCTCCTATGGATTTTTTTCTGTTGTATCTACAGGTAAAAAAAAAAGAAGAAAGATCGTGTATACGAATGTTTGGTAAAATCAATTTTTTTTTTTATTATTGGCGAACGTAATGATAAATGAATTTTTTCGCTTGAACGCGATTATTAATATTAATAGGTATGAAAGGGGGATAAAATAAAGATTGTTGGCATATTATTATCATTTTCGCATTCGATGTTAAACGATTGACGATTGAAAATTTGCGAAGTGATCTCTCGAATCGATCCTTTTGTTTATCCATTGAATGGAAATTCATTTTCACGTCGAAAAGATCGATATTGATATTTTTTTCGTTCCCCTTGAATACTATGAGTCTTCAAGTCTTGTATTCTTCTTACTCGAAGATATTTAATATATTTATTGTCTCGAGGACATATTTTTTTCCAGCATCGAAAATATCGTGATAAAACGTTACAATACAATATTACTATATCGTGGGATAATAATAATATAAAAATCTTTGCAACAGTAATATAAAAGTAAATATACTAACATTAATAAAATTATAAATATTCTTACTTGCTTTTGTATCTTAAATTGCGCCAAGCATTGGTGATACCTAGTCGATACATGAAACATGATTAAGAAAATAATATAATTAAATTCATTGGTTAAAAGGTATCGAATCGATACGAAAGAAAATTATACAAATTATATTGCGCGATAATAATCGAGAGTTATATCGTATAATTTGAAACGTGATTGGATAATTTAAGATTAATGAGAGATTAATTAGGAATTGCGGTAGGACAACTGTTTAGTCCTGGATTGACGAAATGGATCGTGGGCAATGATAAATGGAAAGAAAGGGAAAATGATGGGGAAAGAAGAGAGTGTTTCCAGACGAGCGACGACCTTCCTTGGAAGACATTGCTTTGGTGGAAGGTGAACGCAGCCGTGCGACCTAGATTCTCGTGTGGCGACCACGGAGAAAGACCACGGTGAGGAGAAAGATGGTGAGCAGGAAAGGAACGAGATGACGATTATAAACGAACACACGATTTCCTCCTCGACATCGATGCGAATCGAAAGTCCCCCTTTGCAGCCAAACACTTTCTGCCTTTTACCTTTTACCAGTTATTCATCCTTTTCGCTGCAATTTCACCGATCGTCCGCCATCGTTTGTCTCAATTTCGGAAATATCCTCGAAGGAACAATCAGCTTTTTATCGATTCAACGATACGACGAGCGTTGCAAAGAGGGATTAAAACGATTGAATTTATATTTTTAACATGGTTTTTGAATCGATTTTGCGATGGATCGTGAAATTTCCTCCTCTTTTCATCGCGATGATTGTACGAAGGAGAGTAAACTGTATCCCTTTCACGTGTTTTTTCCATTTTCAAATGGATCGTCGAATTTCCTCATCATTTGTCTAAATTTCGAAAAGATTCTCCTTTCATCGAGATGATTGTGTGTTTCCTTCTTCACGTAAAAATAATTACATTTAATCTTCTTCACGTGTTTTCCAATCCGTTTTGCAATGGATCGAAAGATTTTAGAAAGATTCTCCTTTCGTTATCGTCCAATGATTGTGATGATCCTTTCTTCAAAAATGATTAAATTTATCTTCTTTACGCGTTTCGAATCCATTTTTCAATGGATTTTCAAGGGAATTTCATTCACCGATCATTCGCCACGACTCGTTTAAATTTAAGGAAGGATCGGACCTCTTTCCATCGAGCAAATGGGAATAAAATCGCGTGTAAAAATGGCTGAATTTATTTTCTCCACGCGTCTCGAATCCATTTCGCGTCATTGATCTCCTAGTCGATCTCCTAACGTTGTATCGACCCTCGACAAATTGCATATCGATAAGATCGAGTTTTCTGCAAGCTGTAGAAATTGATTACACGTTGCCATTACCACACGTACATTATACGTATACACGCGAATAACTTTCCTACGCCTATAATTATTATTCGTTCGTGTCGTCGCGAACTTACTCTTCCAAAGATCCAAATTTAATTGACGAACGAATTTTGAATTGAATTTTGTTAAAAAGAGAGAAAAAAAAAAAGAAAAGAAAAGAAAATCGTCTCGAGTCGAAAAAAAGTAGCAGAGGAGGGGAAAATTCAATTGCACTACACTTGGAAAACTCGCCGTCGTAATGGATTTATGTAACCGCTTCGATTACGTTGCCTCGAACAGACGATTAATGAGTCGGGCAACTTTTTACCGCGACGTCTGACGACGAATCGAAAGTGCTCTCGACTTTTACTTTTTTATCGTTCGCTTATCCACCGCACGCAACCGATCCCTCCCTTCTCTTTCCACGATGAAAGAAAACACGCGTGTGACGATTATTATTCGAAATTGGAAAATTAGGTTTCCTAATTGGATTTTTCCTCATTTTCAAGGCCCATTTTCGGTCTAAATCGTCTCGAAATCGGGACGAAGGTATGCCGCTTGCCAAGAAACATCTGTTCATCGAAATTCACGAGAGATTATCTCCTCCGTTCATCGCGCTTTTACTCGGAAATTTCACTCTCCGGATTCGAACGTCGTCGTCTTCTTTCCCGAGTGGGAAATTTAAGAATTTCTCTCGAGAAAAGTCGAACGGTAAAAATTTGTCTAATAAATGAAAAAGAAGGAAAATTATATAACTCGAGAGACTGACTCTTCGCGAAGCGTATGGAATTTCTGTTCGAGGAGTTTCTCGAATATTTCTATTCGACTTACTCGGCGGCGGTGAGATCATCCCATGAGCGATCTTCGAAACCTTCTTTTAAATGTCCAGCTACGAGCGTGTCCAGCGATCTCTATGTTTCATCGGATTTTCTACAGCAAATTAGAAAGGGAGAGTAGACGAAGTTTGAAAAGTGAGATCTTTGAAAAGAGAGGGAATCTCTCGGAAACGGATATATGCTATTTCCAATTCTCCACGGAGGCGGAAAACGTCGATCCTCGGATCGCCATAATGTCATTGTTTGTCTCGACAACAGGTTGGCCGTTTACTCTTCTCGAGGAGAAACCGCGCCTCCGAGGAAAGTCGTGTCTTTTCCTTTTTTTTTTTTTTTTCCTCTCCTTTTCTTCCGATGTTTGCACGCGAGAGAATTTTCGAGCCTCTTCCTCTCTCTCTCTCT